CCCAAATTCCAAGAGGTTCTTTAAAAAAAGCCTTCATATACTTATTTCACATATTTAAAATAAGCTTTTAAAGGTTGTACACTTCATAGGGGTAAGCCACAGCTTTCCAGTCAGCTCTGCGAGGAACAGTGTTCTCCCGTGGACCCTTGGATGTCCTGACAGCAGAGACATCTCTCTGTAGCACTGAAGCACAGTCCATGGAGGCTGGAACTCTGTTGCTCTCATCTCCTCTGTCCTTTTGCTTTTGTCCACAGCTGTCAGGTGTGTCATTTGGTAAAGCAAGTCCTTTTTCTGTCTGGAGGCTGCTGCTGAAGATGTCGTACAAACAGCAAGCGTTATAAGGGTGATAGCAGGAGGATGGTGACCAAAAGAAATGATAGGCTCGTTAGAAAGAAGGGCTGAGCTTGGGAGAAGTATGAAAATAGGGAAGTGAAAGGTTTATGTAAGCAATAAGGTAAGGTAAGCAATACATTTTTACAGCGGTAAGCTGTGGAAAAAAGAACGTCACAGACAAGAGGGGAGAATGGAGATGATAGGAAAAAATAAGGAAAATTTTGAAAAAATCCAGAAGGCAGAACCGACTAGAAAGGCAGAGAGAAAAGAACAAGACATATGGTAGAACTCTGAATTAGGCAGGAAGATGACATTTTTGCTAAATTAGAATACGGGGATGATGGATGATAAGAAATAGGCTAAGTCTGAGAGAAAACAGCAGAGAGTACAGAGAAGAACAAGTAACGAGCAGGATAAAACACTGCAAGTTCACCCACCGTGCATTTTGAACATCAGAACTGGGGTAAATCTCAGCAATCGTGTTATCTGGGAACAAAAACCTGTCCAGTAGAATTAAGTGCAACTTGTTTTGGGTCTGAAAAATCACTGTTGTGTTTCTTTCTCCACAGTTGACAGACCTGTCAGAGTGTATGCAGATGGGATATTTGACCTCTTCCACTCTGGCCATGCTAGAGCTCTTATGCAAGCCAAAACTCTATTCCCAAATAGCTACTTATTAGTAGGAGGTAAGATCAGAGTTATTTATTGCGCTGGATCTTTGCTTCTGTGCTTCAGTATCAGAGAGTTATTGCCGTGCTCGCACCCCCAGCTGTTTATACACTGTGACTTTGAATGCTACTTTCACTCTGGGGGCTTTCTATAGGCGATTTGCCTTGAATTATGTCTTACAATTGCATCAATTAAAGTAAAAGTCAAATTCTGTCCTCAGCAGCACAGGCACAATTCCCATTCTAGTTAAAGCAGGTGCCTGCCTGAGCTTAGAATAGCTCCATATGAATAATTTACCTTTTTCAGTTATTCACTCAAAATTGTTCAAAGATGGAGATGAGTGAATGAGATCAATCGCTCATTTATTTCTGGCTCCTCGGTCCCTCTGCCAGCCAGGCACAGCCCACGTCCCCTGGCTGCCAGGTCAGTACTGTGTGTGCAGACCCAGCCTTCAACATCAGCAGAGAAGCTAAATCCAGCCCGTTAGCATTGGAGACCCAAATGTAGGTCATGATTTGAATGTAGTTTTCAGCTCACAAGTGTCCCCGGGCAGGTTACTTTCTTATCAGGTTTTTTTGCTGTGAATAGCTTCTTTTTTTTGCTGTGCGGCTGGCTAACAGCTGTTCAGCAGTTGGTACGTGCCTGAGGAGTCACTGGAGGGTGGCTGTGTCCTGCCCAGCTGGCTGTGCAAGCCCTGCTCTCGTGAGGCCTCATAAACATGCATTTCAGTTCCAGTTTCCCTGCACCTTTGGGGCTGAGATATGCCTCGCATAAACATTTCACAGCAACCTTCCGCTGCTCAAATGCTTACAGCAGTGATGATAAAGCGAATGTGAATGCAATCTTCAGGCACTTTATAAGATGCATTATTTTGCACCTTCATCCCAAATCAGTTGAAAGGGGGGGAAAAAAGACCCAACACAGAGGAAAAGCAAAATCTCCTTATAAACAATACTTTTTGGGTTTACTCTTAAGTTTATGAATTGTGGGAATTCCCATGGAGCTTCCTGGGAGGGAAAGGAAACATCCCTTTGTTATGAAGGAAACATTTAGGACTCTGTTGTTTTCCTGATGAGCCAGAGCGATTGC